TTTAACCTCAAAGTCCAAAAATTTTCATGCTGAATCCAATTTATTCTTTCACATATTATAGTCCAGACCACAGCTTTATTAGTGAGTTAGTTATCCAGAGCTCAACGAACCCCTTGTGGGACTGAGATATTTGCTTTATAAGGGAAGATGGATAGTGATATGTTTGAAGCGATTACGAGTTCACCTAGTCTGCGAACGGAACAGACTTGTGACCAAAGACCAATAAGTTAGCTATTCTGATTCACCACAGCCTCTCTAACTAGGGAGAAAAGTCGAAGTCCGAACGGTGAATAAATATATTCCGCAAGCAGACAGAAGCACAAGCGATTACAACAGGCACAAATTAAGCGTAAATATACAAAATAAATCTATCTTTGGGAGGTGTTACAAAATAGTACACCAAAATATACAACGGACCAATAGCGTTTAAGATTTTCCCAAGTAGGAAATATGAAACGAAGGTGAAAAGAGCGTTTTTGGCGCTTTTATGAATTAAAGATCAAATAATCGGTAATTGTTCTTTATCTATGATAAAAATGGTAACTTCTTAAAATAGACTTTCAGTTTATAGTACGCCTACACACATATACACCAAACACAGTTCTTTTTCGTACGATATCACACTGTATCCATCTATTTTCAGATGTGATAAATTTGTGTGTGTGTGTTCAATTACATATAACGACTTTTTCAAAATATTACTATATTTGTATAGTATCTATGATACCATAAGACGGAAGTGTACCTTTTAAATGAATAATTGAGTCTACTTACTAAATATGGTATGTTATTCAACATGTAACACTTATATTACTACTTAATTAGGAAGTTAATACAACGTTCACAACTAATCAATAACATGTTGATGTATGTTTCTTCCTTTTTATTTTTGAAGTAAATAGAACATAGTACTACTTGATAGGATCATGTTCCATTTTGATGATAGATATATTAAAATGATCTTACCAAATTTGGTGGGCGGTATTCTTACAATTGAAGAACATATGGAACTCAAAACAGCTGTCAATCAATTTCAAACTCAGAGTTTTCAATACGAACATCAAGGCAAACGTACTATATAGAAATGAAATTAGGAAAATACTTTGGAAGTGGATAGGACATACATTACGGAAATCATCAGACCACATCACGAAGCAATCCCTAACTTGAAATCCCGAAAAGAAACGGAAAAGAGGAAGGCTGAAGAACACACTTCATCGAGAATCGGAAGCAGACGTGAAAAGGAAGAATAGCAACTTGAAGTAACTGGAAAGGACTTTCCAAGACAGGGTTGGATGGAGAACATTGGTATGCGGCCTATGCTTCCCCATGAGAAGTAACAGGCGTAAGTAAGTAAGAAGTGATATGGTGCAAAATACAATAATACATAAGCCTGTTCTTTGCTACAACATTATACATAAAATTTTCTAAATATCGTGAAATTATTTTGTATTCACGGAATGTTTTCGCCTACTAATGTATTTTATCTTTATACTACGGAACAGACACTCAAACCATTCTACGCATACCATTCTGACCTAATACAATCGAGGCATGATTCTGATACACAGAAGCTGATTTCCACGAGCATGGCGTGATAGATCCGCAAGCTCAGTTTCTCGCGATATTGAGGGTACTGACGCGCGATTTTAACAGATACGTTGCACTTGATATGTTTACTAATGGTATATATGGATCTTATGACACCTTTAAAAAGAATATCCCTAATGGGGAAGATCTAACTGATAGATAGAGGTTAAACCAGCTTTTACACGATACAGAATTACAACACGGCTCAGCAACAGATATGTTACTAAACATGCACCCGAATAATGGTCAGTGAAGTTTCAACAAAGCAAGCTGTTCTCCTCTCATTCCTAAACAACTTCGTAGACAGACTGACTGCTCCTGGTGATCGGACTCTGAAGATCACCTGATTCCTAAGCGCCGAGGTTTATTTTATGAATGAGAAACCTCGAACAAGACGAAATGACATTGCAGATCTCTCCAATACTCTCACTCATTATCTTACTGTTCATCGCAATCGCAGACGCTTCTAAACACCTCTAAGTGACTCCTCACGAAACTATCTGTATCTAGACTACGAAAAGTAAATAATCTTGCTTGGTGTTGATACCATTAAAGTGGACGAGAATTCAGGTGGGGACGACCAATATATTGTTTAGTATAAAATTACATAGATCTTTGGTAATAACTGAAAACCATATATTAAATTCTTCTTTTGCAAACCCTCCATCCATTGTCCCTTACATCCTTCATGACTCCTCCAATTCTCAAATCCCTTATGTTACCCTTTCCGTTTTCTTCAGTTCAGTCTTCCCGACCTTTTGCCTTCAGTTATCGCACATCTGATCGGTGTTACATACTACTTGTGTTGATAGACATAAGTAGCATACACCGCACCATGTTTAGTATAATAAATCTCCTAGGCATTTCACGAAACCCTGAAGTTTCCCCAACACAAAACTATATATTGCGGAAGACTTTTCGGAAACTTACCCGTCGGTACATGTTGACGACAACCGTAGGCAGTGGAGATAGCCGTCTGTTATACATCACTGATGTGTTGATGATAGTTCGCTATATCTTCGATACTGACACAAACGTAAGGGTTTTACAGCGAGTACAAATGACCGCCTACAATATTCGGTCTTTAATATGCAGGCTGCAAGTGGAAAACCAATCTCCACATATGACAAGATGTATGTTCACCTTAACGTGGGTTTACGCGACTCCATTCATCGTATTTTGGTTGTAGGGAACATTTCTATGCCAATCATTGGAATAAACCTCTTATAACACCATAATCTACCAACTGACTAATGCAAACGCGGATTAGTAGGTGGCATTACTAAATTATTTGTTTGTGTAACTTCCTTCTCTGTTTGTAGGTTTTGCCTGGTCAAGGTTAGGCATATAATCAATCCATTCCTCCAACAGAAACTCGACAAGTACCTTGAGCTTTACAAAATACTACCAAAACTACCGTGTGTGACCAGTAATGCTACCCACAACATCACGACTTAAGGACTACCTGTATTTTGGAAAGCTCGATGACTATTTCCTGGAAAGCTAAGATTAGTCGAAAAAGACTTCGAAAACAGCTGTGACACTGTGCGTTAAACAGATGAGGACAGGTAATGAAACTTTACTACGTGGCACATCTACATGTAGAGATCGACCAATAGTACCGAAATGTTACCGACGCAACGTCTTCAATACGTTGCACAATCTTTCTCATCCAGGTGTTCGTGCATCCATCAAGCTTATAACCGAACGGTTTCGCTGGTCTAGTACGGATAAATGTGTGAGGCAGTGGGAACACTCCTGTGCAAGCTGTCAAAATTCTTAGGTGGTTTAGCCCAACAAATGTCCATTACGCTTTCTGGAAACTCCCGACGCACGTTTCCGCCATGCTGATCATGGTTTAGTAGGACCATTATCAGATTCAAATGGATACACTTATCTGTTAACTTGTGTAGATCATTTTACTCGATGACCAAAAGCAGTACCTATCAAGGACACTGCTAATGGAGAAGTGATCATTACCTTCGTCGAACGATGGGTAGCAAATTTTGTCATGAATACATTTTCGACCGGTATAATGACGTTTCATCAAGTGTCTGTATCTTGTCAGAATGGACACCATCCAAGTATCCTTATTTTTTATTTACACTTATATTCTTTCATATAGTGCTTCTTCTGTGAAGCTCATGCCTCATTTTGAAAGTTGGTCATGCTATTATACAGAAGTAATCGACCATTATAGTCTTTTGAATAATCGAGCTCAAAAGAGTGAATGAAACTCTATCAATGACAAACATACCAATGTAGTCCAATTATTAGATTTAACAATACGCCGAATAACTGTGAAGATACCACCAGTATTGCAGTTTGACAACTCTTTACCAGTAACACCTATAATCGAGTCGTGCCCACCCAGTTAAAATCAGAAGTCAGAAGTGAAGAGGTTGGAAGATATATTTGATTAGTTATCAATATAACGAGAAACGATTGATCTAATCTGGCTAATGATCGTAGGAGATGTTTCCCACGCTGTGCTGTAACATGATCTGGTGCGGATGCATGACCGAACGCATTCAGCTAAACAAGTCCACTAAAACTAATGTGGTTAGCATCCAATGTCGAACACTTACAAAGCTATTGACTTTGGGGAATTATTTACCGCTACAACTGCTATCATCAGATGACATTTAAGATACAGATATACATATTAACTTAAAAATATTTTTAGGTTGAGTCTCTCTGACAAAGCTATCACAAATGCTACGAACGACAACAGTGAATTCCCATTGCAACTAATTCAGAATACTGTAAAGGTTAATTCCCCTCAACTTGATTCCAATATATGTTGTCCAGTTAACTGTGTATTTTAGCAGACTAACTCTCGTAATACCACTATGAATTAACCAGAGAACATTCAATAGCTCTAAAACCAGTTGTTGGGCGGGTGTGCTCATAGCAATTAATGAAATTTGAAACCACGAAAAAAACCCAGAGTACAGGGAGGTAAGAGAGTGGGAAGAAGTTCGAAGCATGTTTATGCTAATAGAGACGTGAGTAAACTTACTGGTTGTTCAGATTTGTAATCAATGAGGGGATAGATAATGATTGAGGTACATATATATAATATCATGAGCTTACTATAATGCTAATTATTAAGCTGTAAGTCTCAGGTATTTGATTAACAGTCTCCTTTTGTCCAGTTTTTTATAGCATAGATTGGTCGGCTGCTTCTAGCTAGTACACCTAGGTAATTCATTAAGGAGCGTTTCTGATATTTCACCATATAACATAGCTTACAAAATACATCGCATTCGGAAGCCATGAAATTCACTTCCAGGTCTAATTGCAATTCTATCTCCAATTTATCCCTTCCACACCTTCATGCTTGTGCGTGATGACAAATTTTGTGAAAATGTATAATTCTATATGCTTGACTTATTCACTTTTCACAATGAAGCCTCCACAATCTAAGTTTCTTGAATGATTGATATGAACGATCCGTATTTCCATACACTAGAGAACCAGCAACGATAACGCAGATGAGAATATAAGGAAGTATACAGACTCTCATTTATTTGTAACAACTATTATTTATCTGATGACTGAGTTTTTGTACGCTATCGTTGTTTCAGCTACTTGACCCTGACAAGTAATCACTTTTGAATATGCAACAACCGGGCGTAAATAGTGTAGCAGCTAACGTATTCAACCAGTAAGAATAACTTAGATTTTACAACAATAAATCCCTATGATAGAATTGACAGGAACAGAAGTGGATCCATATGTGCAAGCGAATTACAACAGGCACTATCCAACGGTTAGTTTCTAAAGTGTTAAATGTCTTCATATTTATTTCCGTTAGTCACCAGTAATAAAAATAGTAGGTCGGTGAACCTGTGTTAATTCTCGCAGCTCGTTTTCTAGTTGGCATGCAGTTTCTCCTTGGAATTATTCACTGATGGGACTGATACCACTTGTCCGAATAGGGTGTTCCAATCATTGACAATCTTTGAAAAACGGAACCCCATTCTGAGTTAATGAGATTATTGTTTTTGAACATTCTTGCTATGGCTTCAGAGATGATCAGTTCTGGAGGGAGCAAAAAGATGAGTCATATTAACCCCCAAGTTGTCACTAAAGATATGGAATGCCAATATCAGGTCACTTCACGTTCCACGATACAATAAGGAAAAAGGTTTAGAAGTTTTAGGCGCTCGTTGTAAAGGAATTTGGAAAGACCCTTCAATAACTTTGTTCCCACACGTTGGAAATACTCGAATGTGTTGGTATCTTAAGTAAGACACGGACTGGCTGCTTGGACACAGTCAGTTTTTGTATTGTTTACACTCACGTAGTACCAGCATTTGATGTAAAACGCATTTGTTCAAAATTAAGTTTATCTAGCTATGTGAAGCGTATTCACCTCACAGAAATCGATGAGTAGTCTGAAACATTATTGTCGACAAACTAAATCTCTTTATCGTCAGTATCTTGCACTTGAGAAAAATGTAACATGTTTGCTTCTCAACAAAAATGACTCTTCGTTTTTTTCGTTAGTATTGACTTGAAGTTGTTTTTAAAAGTAAAACAAGAAGGCACGCTGAAGAACCAGTTGCTTTGACATTAGTTTGTCACTGAGATGCTCAATAAGCTTACACACACCTATGTCATGATAATAGTTTGAACTTGTGAGTTCCGTTTGTACTTATCAGAAGCGATGAGAAAAGCTAGCGTATCTGCACTTAGATTAAATGAAATTAGTACAAAACATCATTCAAGTTCACATAATCAATCATCGGTGTTCGCATTAATTTATTTCGTTACTCTCGTCCACTGCACATAACCGTAAACTTCATGCCCTGGTAATAGCTCAACTGCACTAATTGGTTTTTAGTTTCTTATGAATGCATATCAGAGTAAAGTTATGAAAGCTTCTGGTTGAAGGCATTATTCACTTATATTTTGCTCTTTCTGAGCTACAACCCGAAACAGATGCGTCTTTTTTCTCTTTTCAAATTTATTTCACTGGATTATGCTCCTTCAATAACATCTTCAAACCCTAATCTTTCCGATTATTGATTATACTCTTACTACTTCTGCCACTATGGGACTTGAATCAACAACTGCATCTCTGTGCTAATGTGGTATGGCAACTCGAACTGATGTACGTAGGTACAAAGTTCTGCGTTGTGACTGACTAACATGCATCATATATTGCAGTTCCGACTAAAAGGAAATATATTTTATCCGTAGCCAGATGACTTGAGTGTCTCAAAGTGGGAAATAAGTCTAGACCAATTAAACTTCGGTAAATAACTTTTAGCCTGTATTCTAGAAGTTGTTTAAGACTAAAATTTCATTTATTACTTCTAAGATTAGGTTTAAAGGTTGTCTTTATACAGAAGGTTTGCTTTTCTAGGAACTTGACTAACCGTTTTTTTTTTGATTCTGAGAACAAACCATGAAATTCATACTGTTCGAACTAATTCCTCTTCATTTATCATGAAAGACTTTTATGGGATATTTTAAAGAATCATACATAATTTCATCTGACTACACAAACCCAATAAAATGTCCTCAATATTAATAGAAAGTTAACTGTTTGATTCACATACATACTAAAGTGGAACAATCTGATTAGATTAAATCCATGAATAACTCATTTTTTAAGGTCTACATTCCTATTGACTGTTGCTGATTTGTAAGGCTCATTGTTCAGTAAAAATCTGTTTCTACGCTGATCAATTCCTTACGTAAATGTAAGTATTTAGCAACTGTATTATATGATTGTCGGTTTATAGTTTAATTTTGTAGCATCTTTGTGTTTCTTTTATTTTTTCCGAAATATTAACCTTAACAACCCCCACACAAAACAGGATTGGGTACATCATTCAATATTAAAACGATTGAACTGATGATATGTATGTTTGACAAAGATATGAATGGCACTATAAATGTCTGTGAATTCTCTCAACTATTTGAGTACGTACAACAGTGGCAACAATGTTTTCGATCATATGACAGAGATGGGTCTGGTACAATTGACTGTCGAGAGTTTCATACTGCTCTAACAAGTTTTGGTTATCGATTGTCTCCAGATTTTTCACAATTTTTAGTTAGAAAATTCGACAAACAACGTCGCGGATCAGTAGGATTTGATAATTTCATCTTGGCATGCGTCTGTTTAAAGGTAAATCTCAAAATTCTATCTTCGATGTTTTTCTATACTTTTGTGCGTCAAAATGTTTTAATGATAGGTATTTAAAAATAAGGATGAAAGGTCTAAAAAAGTACTTGTGCAGCTTATTTGTCATGAGTTGGGAATGTTAGTTGTTCGCGCATTCTTGAATATCGTAATCCCTTCTGCTATCGATAATGTTTCCATTACTTTGCTTTTCATCTCGTTCAACTTACCCTGATGATATAAAGTGTGGCAACTTGACTTGTTCCACGTTATTCTTATGCTTTATGTTATTTATGATTGACCGAATTTGAAAGCTAGACATGTAATTTTTTGAAATGTGACATAACTTCTGGGTTTGTTTTTGCTTTGTGTTTGGTTGTCATGATGACTGAGGTTACATATAACCTGAGGAATTTGTCGCTCGAGATCTTACCATGCCATAAAGTCCGTAGTGTAGCAAAAAGCTTAAGGTCAGACATCAAATTTATACTCTTGATTGTCTTGTAGTGTAATTGGTTTTGTTGTGCAATGCTTCGCTAATCTTTCACCTCGATAACCGTTATAATACAAATCTTAACGGTGCATGAAATCAGAAGGCAAAGAGAATCTGCAACCACAGTTTATTATCAAATAGCGCATGCCACAAAGCTACAAGCACATCGAACGAAGTATAAGTAAGTATCAGCAAGCAAGCACGAGCAATTACATAGGCAAATTTATAGTCATTGTATATTGGCTCAGCAAGACAAAGCAAAAGCTAATAATTGGTTTTGAGTGCACATATATATGGGGAGGAGGATGAGTCATCGAATGATATTTAAGCAATCAACGTTTTGGCTAGAGTCTGTCATGTGCTCTAGTGATCATAACAGTACAAAGATATATGCTAATTGTTACTATCCCAATGACGATTTCTGTTAAGCAAGTTAATAAAAGGGCTGAACCATAATCGAAATTGGGTGTCGGATAGTTGCCATAGTTTTACATGTCTCAGATGGATTGTTAACACCTCCAGTGATCATGTCGTACAGCTAGAAGGAGAAATTACAGTCATTCGACCATAAACAGGGCATACACTGCCTTGCTTCATGACTTTCTGATGCCTCCTGAAAGTTTTGGAAAGTATGAAGCGTATGTAACGAAAAGTACTACTAACAAGATGATCAATCAGTTATCTATTGAGTTCCTCGGTCAAGCTCCGCAATCTAAAAGGTCATTGATACTCACCTAGATTTTTCTTCACTTTTATCAAGAAGTCCTCTTTCATGATTAAAGCATTTGAGAACTGTTGATCTTCAATATTCTAGCATCACTCGAGCTTATCAACAGCTTTCTTAAATGTTTTGTAAATTTCCCTCCATTCCTTTTGTTAATCTTTCACTTTGGCTTTATTTTCTTCCTAATGCGCAACCCATTCTAAAAATTTAATTTTGCAGTGTTATTGCCACTCTACTAAAATTGTGCTCCACACCGCAAGCTAGTCTTTAACAGTTCATATTATTACATGCCTATGTGATTTATGCTGACTTTCAGATAGACAAATTAATCCATTTTGCAAACAGATGATAAAAATATGCAGATAGGATCAGGCAAAACGAGTCTACTCTATTTCAATGAGTTTGATTTAGCATCGTTGTTCTAATGGACAAAAGCGAGCTTAAGATAGAGAATAGGGTACATGGTAGACGAATATACGTACATACAAGTGCTGTGAAGGTAATAAGTGAACAGTTGACAAGGTCACAAATATGTGTACTCAGTGACTCAAAAGGATTAGATTAATATATTTGTCCATAAGTTGTAATGAGTCTTAGTATTTTAATGATAGGAACCGCTACAAATGCCTTCAGTGTTTTATCCTTATTTTCAACCTAAAAAAAATAGTTCCACTAGCCCAAGATCCTAGAATATTTTCCGTTTGTTGGATACTGCGTTACGGAAACCCAAGCGTACTTATTCATCTAGCCAACATGGAGGACTTGTTTACCTTATCCTCTGTAACCAAAGGCACAACCGCAACGTCTCATCGTGCTGCATGTGTACGTATACCATTATGTTTAGCAGAATGGACTATCAATTTTCAGCCTAGAGTATTTTATTCTGTTTTCAACTAAGTAGGATCTGCTTCAAGTACTTTTCATCAACCCACTATCAACCAACATCTTATATACCGTGTCGTTGTTAGGCCTACAAATGTTACTGAAGTTGAGAAGCTTGTAATTGATTTTAGGCGATGCATAAAAGCAATTTATAAGTCGTTAACTCCGCAAATCTTAAGGATTCTAACCCAGTATCATTCGTAAATTAACAGACATATTAATTAAGGTTTTGAAGCTTAGCATGAATAAGAACACTCAAATGTTGATGTATTTCTTGTCCTATATACCGTTTCTTCTCACCGTTTGAGAGATTTTCCAGTTGCATCTCCTACTGGGAGATATATCAAAAAAGAGTATCAGTTTACTAAAACTTGTTTGTTCCAGTATGATTGATCATGTCAGAGCTTACTAGTAACTATCATGTAGACTGACTTCATCAAACATCATTCCTCAAGATTGTCCGTCTGTCCTACATTTTCCTTAGAGGTAACTGTTTCTTCGTCTTATTTCTCTTTCCTGGGTTAGTGACTTCAGGAGGAATATACTGTAATTCGCGTTGTCTTGCTAAAGACTTTGTCTTAAATCATATCTATTCTTGGAGTGAGGCCGGTTGTTGTTTCATTGTTGGAGATTTCAACGTGCCGCATATCAACTGAATAGAGCTTACAACTTCAGATGGATGTTTTGACAGCAACCTTCTGTCAACCATTATTCGGTGCCCACTTGTACAGTGTATCGCAAAACCAACACATATTGAACAAGAACACGAACCGTCATTACTGGATCTTATCTTTAAACACCACCGTAAATTCACTGACATTCAGTACCTCTCCCCACTAGCATATAGTGATCACATCACACTGTATTTTGGGTTCCGAGCAGAGATAGGTCATGTGTAACTACAGACCTGTCAATCTAACCAGCATAGTAAAGTTACTTGAACAAAATAATTCGGGCTAAATCACGTAGAATCATGCAATCTGTTAACTCCTGGACAACATGGGTTTCGTAACAAGCATTTGCGTTTCACCAACCTACTAATTTCTAAAGAGAATTGAACAGCAGCACAAGATAGTGGTTTATCCCTTGATGTGATATTCATAGATTTTAGCAAAAATGTGGTAAGGTTTCTCACTCAAGGCTTATGCAGAAGCTCTCCAGCTTTGGAATAACAGGTGCCGTACAAAAATGAATAAGAAAATTCATCCGTAGCCGAAGACATGATGAGAATAAATGGGACATTATTTGGATGGAAGTTGGTCAAAAGTGGTATACTCTAAGGCAGCATCTTGGATCTATTTTTTAGTCTTTACGTCAATAAATTACTGAAACTGCTTAAATAGTCGACATTATTGTCTGCAGATGATACGGAAATCTGTAGAACAATAAGTAGTGAGGCTGATCATCATGATCTCCAAGCTGACCTAGACGAATAAGTTAGATGATCCCAGAGTTTAATTGGAGAAAGAGTGTGCTCATGTTCACGAAGCATGGTAGTTGTTACCAGTATATTATCAACGGTATATCGCCTCAATGCGTGTAGGAACACAAAGACTTGGAGGTAATAGTAAGTAACAGCTACTCGTTGCAACTCGACAGCCACCAGAAGTTTTCGAGCATTATTGTCACTTTGCCGAGCATTGCAATGCTTTGGCGAAATGTTTCGGAACTTATATCCTACCTATGTAAGACCACACCTAGAGTACTGTGTTCAAGTAGCCAGTCCATGTCTTATTCAAGATACCAAAACACATTTGTGTTTCCAGCGTGTGGGGACAAAGTTATTGAAGGGTCCCTCCGAACTCTTTTACAATGAGCGCTTAAAACTCCTAAACCTTTCCCCCTATCGTATCGTGGAACGTGAAGTGACCTGATGTTGGCTGTATCTCAACTAGAAAATAAGCTGAGAGGATTAACACAGGTCCACCGATTTACTATCCTTATTACTGAAGGCTACATAATCACACTTATTGATTTCCCAGTGTGAGGCTTCTCAGAAGACTAAAACAGATGTTAATTGGTCTCTGATTTTTAGTCGTATTCCATGTGGTCATCATTTGATGAAGAATATCCACAAGTTGTATATAAGCGAATTATCTTACGCAGTAACGAATTATACTTGTATATGCTTTCTACATTATTAAAAACCCTTCATTCTCCAGTCAGCACTGATGGTCACTATTTCATTTCATTTTTAAAAAACGTTCGTACATTCTGGTCCCCACATAGTGATTTTTCATTCATATTTAATGGTTTAATACAATCGTCAGTTTTCGAGTTGTTATACGTGTGTCTACGTGTAATAATGTAAATTCTTAAACAAGCTAGCAGTCAAAGAAAAATAAGCTTCTTGTCTAATCATACTACGACTTTATATTTAACTAAAACATTCGTTATTGTGTTTTATTTGCTGTTTAAATATATTTCTAACTCAGTGTTACAATGTCAGTTCTATTGGATGAAATGAATTCCTTGAATTAAGCTGCTTACCTACTGTGTAATCAATTTCACCCTCTTTGTGACTCATTTGCTAGATATCAGCCTTGTAAATTACTCGATCTTTAATAAACGAAGATCAAATTATTAGGTTTAATTCTTGTTCATCACATCGGTGGTAGAAATTCAAATATGTTATCTGTTAGTTGAAAACCGAGTTCCATCATCGTTAAACCTCCGTTTTACTAATCAACCTAACCTGTAAAATTTTACATTCTATGATATTTAAGCATAATATATTTGTCATTGTTAACTCCTTTCTACTATTGTCATTAACTCGGTATAATAATAGCTGAGAATATTAATTACACGAATATGGAACAGTGGCTTGGTGGGTAAGACGTTCGATTTTTAGCTCATGTTCTAATCCCTCTCTAATTGCTTTGGTTTAGGCAACCAGGTAGTATCATTGACTCTCAGACTTAGACTGTTGCTTATATCTAAGTACCTAGATAATTATTTCCCGACCGTTGCTGCTACATTGACGTGGTGGTTGGGCTTGCCAATCGTGATGAACCAATCGAGCTATACTGGCTGGAACAATCGTTCCTCAAGGTCCTACCATGCTAGACAGGTCAGTTGAAGAGCGGTAAGGCTAAAACTAGGAAACTCAAGGTCCGAAAGCGAAGTCGTACTGCTGACTGTACAGAGGTGTGACGGCAGTAAGGTGTTTCCTTCAGACAACCAGCATAACAGCGATGCTGCCTTCCCACAAGGAGGGATAGGGTTAGAATAGGTCGACCTTAAAAATGCACACCTCGACTTATCTCACGGATATCCGTCTCCGGCGGTAAGGTCCAAACAATACGGAGCTAACATAAGAATTGCTTACAAAAAGGTTGTGTATGACCGACCTCAAGCAGTTGTCCTTTGGGCATTGCGGTCACACTCTCAGGTCATAAAGACCACTTCTAATCTAATTTCCTTTTCAGGTACCTTTAGAGGAACCCTTCCATGGTATGGGCAACCGGGAAGTGATAACTGCCTTCATACCTCTAACAGCACTCATGATTATTGTATTCATAATCAATCTCCTTCTTCAATTCCTACAAGAGAATTAGTTAATTGTGTTGATGATTTTTTTTCGTTTTTAAGCCAATATATAATTTATCTTTTATTAAACTACTCATTTTATCATTACTATTACAGAATTTAACTGATGTATTCAGACCATATGATTATCAAAGAAATGGGATGGCACAACTTAGTTATGAACAATTTTTAACTGCTGCTTTCAGTGTAGTTAGTTAATTCAATATATTACAATGTTGACTATTATCCATATCTCTTCTTATTTAAGATTATAAGATATTAATTATTAACTCAATCTGTACTTGATAAGCACTAACTTCTATATGACCCATATTATCAACAACAACAAAGTCTTTTCTTGTCTAGAGAAAATAAAAAACCCGAAAGTATGGAACATTATGTAATACCTAATATAAATGATTGTGAATTGTTTTTGTATGAATACAATTTTTCTGTGATCCTTTTCTTATATTATTATTATTATTGAATATTAGTAATTGAGGATCATTATTTGTCTATCTTATTTAATTGTGTACAGTGGGTTTATTACTGTGGTGTGGTTTACTTATATTCATATAAGTAGTATATAGTGATTGTTAAGCATAGAATGTATTTTGGCAGAAGATCGATATGGAACGAACAGGAGTGAAGCGCAATGGAATGTATTTAGACATAAATTACAGACTATCTCACTAAATTCTGATAACCATACAATGAACAGTTAATTTGCAAAATAAAAATTCAATTATCTCAATCTTCACTGTTCCTTCTGTAAATATCAGTCCATCTTCTCTAATTTCATTATTCATGCATTTTCCTAACAATTTCACTTCATTTCAGTTCTTTCCTTATCTGTCTTCTCAGTAAGTCAGTCACAATGTAGAACTTCGTACGTACGTACATCAGTTCGAGTTGCCACACCACATTAGCACAGTGATGAAGTTGTCGATTCAAATCCCATAGTGGTAGAAGTAGTAAGAGTATAAGCATTATGTGAAAGATCAGGGTTTGAAGATGTTATTGAAGGAGTATAATACAGTGAAATAAATTTGGAAAGAGAAAAAGGACAGAAACATCAGGAATTCAAAAGACTATAATTTGGAAAAACACAAAGAGTGGATGTACCTACGCCATTGCAAACGATTTTGAGCCATGTCATTCAAGGTCTCTAACCATTGGTTGCTGTCATCTCGCGAATCCCAACCAGGTAGTCTACACCGACCAACATGGCTCAGTCCACTTGTCGGTGAGTGACTTCATGGATTTATGCCACGTTTTGGTCTGGCCGCCCCTAGCTTTCTTCCAACCTACTCCTACACCATAAAACATTGCACGTCGGTGGTTGGGCATACGTAACACATGTCCCAACCATCTCAACTGATCAAGTTTCACTACTTCATCAATGGATGTGCCATTCTTACATAGTACCCGTTTCCTAACAACTGTATTACTTACCCGGTGGTCCCAGGATATACGAGCAATGCTTCGAAGACACCTATGATCGAACACTAGTAGCCTACGAATATCCTCTACTCTTACCGGCCATAAAGTAGGACGGAACGAACTGCTGCACAATAAACCCGTTCTTTGGTTGCTAGACGGATATCTCGCCTATGCCATAAATGGCGAAAGTTGGCGAAAGCTAGACGAGCCTTCTGTATCCGTGATGAGATTTCGTCACACATCAGACCACAAGGGCTGATGAGACTCACAAGATAAGTAAAGCAGTCAAAACGCTCAACTACTTCACTCCCTATCATTAGTTCACGTGTCGATGCAAGCGAATCCTGAAGTAACATTTTGCACTTCGAGGGAGAGAATCGCATCCCGAACATGCCTGCAAAGTTGCTTATAGTTGTCAGAAGACTGCATTTTGTTAGAGTCTTCACCAAATAAAACTATGTCGTCGGCGTATTCTAAGTCAAGAAGTGAGCCTCCTGGTAAAAGTTCAACTCCAGGAGATTTAGATGATGAAAGTGTTATCTCTAAAAGCATGTCAACGACAAAGTTAAACAAGAATGGGGAGAGTGGACAGCCCTGACGAACACCACTTGAGGTAGTCAGTTCTGATGACAGTTCGCCATAGGCTTTAACTCGACCAGTTGTGTTCGAGTAGAGAGCCTTTATGAGGTTAATGTACTTCTTTGATACTCCTTTCAGTGACAAACACTGCCATAGAACCTCACGATCAACAGAGTCAAATGCCGCCTTAATGTCAAGAAATACTACTATTGTGGGACGTCTGAATGTATGACTATGTCTGTCTGTCTTCTGCCAAAATACATTCTAGGTCTGACCATCACCATATACTACTTATATGGATATAAGTAGACCACACTACACTATAACCAATACTCATTTTTCATGTATTTTGTGACCACTTTTCATGAAAAGTCAAATTGAACTTAGTTTGTGCTATATTCGATTAAGAGTTGTTTTTTTCTGCATGTAATAATAATGAACTTATTTGACACATTGTATAGGTCAGGGTTAGTGATATGCAACTCGGTTGCCAAAAATCGAATGAACTAAAGGGGGGTTCAATTTTATCATCTGTTATTAATAGCTGAGTAGTAGAAAGATTTATTAAAAGAGACTGAGTAAAAATAAATCAGGCATACAGAATCTTGGAATTACAGCAAGAAAAAGCTAACGTGTTAAAACAGCAATTAACCATTAGGAAAGAAAGCTTCTTTGTTCATAACAAAAATGAAAGTATTATTGTAATAGAAAAGTTTCAGGATGAATAAAACAGAAATTGAGAATTTTTACATAGTGTGTTATGATGTGCGGTGTACAGGTCCTGGTGCTGATACACAGTGTGCTGCGCGCTAACCTCCACCCCGACTGATTACTTGGGTGATAAAGTATATTGGGCTACCGAATATAATGCATGAGTACCGATCTGTATATTTACCACTTTAACCCTTAGAGAATTGGTTCTTTTCTTAGCCAATGAAAATCTATTGACCTTTAGATCACTCCTGATTGTCGTCGATGACTTCTCGACAGGCCAGTTCTGATTAGCTTACCATATCATAGCAAATAATAAAATAGACTGACTTCGAGAAGTAAATCCAGGAGTTCTAGCGAGAATTAGTGACCACTGGAGTTCAAACCATGTCTGTTGTGAGATATCAACTCACTGAAGACAATTGGTAAATGGTTGCGCAACTTCGTGGATTGGTTGAAGTTAGACATTAACACCATGGATGCCGGCTCAGTGGTCTATCGTTTAAGTGCTCTGGCACGAGACAGATAGGTCCTAGGTTCGAATCTCGCCAGGCGAGGTCGTGGATGCTCACTGCTGAGGAGTCCTACAATAGGACGAAGCGGCCGTCCAGTGCTTCCAGGTTTTCTATGGTGGTCTAGCTTCAGTTGACTCACGCTTTCAACTATGAAAATACTAAATCTCCACACAAAACCCCCTTCTGAACATAGAATGTTAATAAGTAATTTTCAGGTACGTATTTGTAAATATTTTCAACTCACAAGCTAATCGTTGTGATTGGTATCAGAGCGTAAAGTTCAACTCAGTCGGCTAGATTGTTTCACTTAAAAGCGTTTAATCAAAATAGCTATAGATTTATCAAACAAGTTTTGCTTTTAAATTATACAAATGTTCAAATAGGAAGGAATCGGTTATTGATAATGGCCTCATCAGTGTCGAAGTGTATTTTATTTAATGGCAGTGAATTAAATAAGTTGTAATATGCTTGAGTTTCTTATCCACTATATATATATATATATGGATTCGCTTTATTGTTTGCATACTTCACACTCAAGACATCTGAATGTTTTTGAGGTCTATGCATGAAATAGCTCTATTCTTCTGAACTATACTCTCCGGGAAACATTGAATAGAGAGCTCAAATTTAAGCAACATATCAAGGTTATATTGTTAGTCAAGTGTTGCTATATGGATTCAAGTGTCATTTTAAGAAATCATTTGTTCACTAATTAATACACATACGTATACTAGTGCTTACTTCATTAAGTATTATCATTCGATTATAAAAAAATCCTCACACAGTTTATTTATTAACCTCATTCAATGCAATTGTTCAAGGGTTAAGGTATATTTTTCATTAAATGAGTCAGTGCTCCCAAATCCCCTGGTGCGACCGAAAATGCGTAGAGCCCGCCTCCCTCTCGAAATGCTCTCACACGGCCACGCGTATAGAGCCTCTGCCAGGGAAGTCCTAATCACTGCCTTCTCGTGGCACCGATGTTGTTTGCGAAATTAAGAGGACGAAAAGAGAAAGTCCGGCGCTTTAACTGGGCCGGTGAGTCGGCGAGTTCACCTAGGGGAGTTGAAAAACCCTGATTCCAAACCGATGGTGCACATGGGCTCCAATATCCTGAGGGAAAAATGGCGTGTGAACCAATCGTTGGTCACCGGCTACCATGGGACTGCATCTCCTCACGGTGCTCCACTGCCTTGTGGATCAGATCTTTCGGTCAAAGGCTCCGTGTGTGGTCCCCTAAGAAAACCACCTGTTTCAGTTTGGGCACCCGGGCAGTATCGCAGCCCTCGCACAAAGTGTAGCGCATATATATCTGAAGCCCCCTTGCACTGATATTTATATGTTCAAATAAATGAGTCAGAAATTGAATGATCTGTTTATTTAGATTATGTTGAAATAAACATCTTAGTAACACCCTGCTTCATGTTCCTTTGTGTTAATGTCCAGTATTAGGTAGAATCAAAATATATAACTCAATTATTAGTTAAAAGTAACTGATTTATTGATTTTTATAAATCGTATACTTACACCAAAATTATTGATTAAATAGTGCTACCTGTCAACTTTCAAATTTATTTATTAACCTGGTGAGATTTTAAATAATATACAATTTTGTTTATATTGATTAGTTATATAAATCATTGGTTTGTGCATAAATAAGTTGTTATCTAGCAACAGCTTTGCTTTCTCTCATTGCATTATACCGTCATAATCTTGTAACCATATTGTTAAGTTCACTACTTGAATAACGTAGAATACAGTTTACGACTACGACACTCGAACATTGAACCGCCGCAAATTAGAAGACAGAAGAAAAGCCGGAGAAGTGTTTAATTGGTAGGAATCGAAATGTACAGAAAATCATGAGTATTTATAGATATTAGCATTTGTTAACTCAACATTATGATTCTAGAAAGCTCCGTCATGTTCTGATTGGATGGAAACTCTTCGGCTCCTTTAGGGCCTCTGGAGGCTCCGCTGTAGTTCTCGAAAGCCGAATCAACATATACCATCGGTATTTTCAAGCAATTATGTTGAGCATTAATTTAATTCAACTATTTTGTTGACATTGATGGTTTACAAGATTTTTCCCTGTCACACGTATATTACGTCAATAAGACTAATAATATTATGTCAGAACTAGGATTCACAACCCAGAAAAGAGAACCATGTTGTTATGATCCAGAAGATTTCCTTAAATAGACAAGAAAGGCTCAGGAAACATTAAGAAGCATTTTATTCAATCAGTGTTTGACTAGAAGTTTTGCTAGAAACATCACGACAGTGAAAAGTCACATGTAGAATTTCTGATTTGGCTGATTACTAGACTGTTTCTATATTTAGTAGCATTCCAGAATTTTCCGGGAAACCCAAGGA